GTATTCGTTTTAATGATAGTACACTACAAAATGAAAGTTCTGTCATGCTTTACTAATCTAATATTGCTTAAAACCCTTATGAATTTAGTATAGTTGATAGAACACAAAATGAGATGTTATGAAGAATGTTCACGCTGATGATCTATCAATGAAGGTAAATGAAAAAAGGAGTGGTCAACCTTGAAAACAGTCAAAAAGGTTTCTAAAAGCAGTCCATCTCTCATGCACTACATTCTAAGTACTCTGAAGTCATATATATTTCAGTCTGTAATTTACTCAATCTTGCTTGACAGTTCTGATCACCATTTACGTCCTTTGTATGGAAAAAAGCAGCTTGGATGTTCTGCTATAAATTTCTCCTTTTGTCAGAAGAAAGTAAGTCATATGGGCTTTGAAATACATCACAGTGAGTAAACTATTACTTTAACAGTAGTTTTTTACATTCCATTCAGGATATTACTATGAAATCAGTGCAGGCTCGGACATTTTCTACTTTAACAAAAAAATTAGATAAATATAAACAAATAAATAAATATTTCAATATATTTTAAGATATAAATATATATATACTGTATATATGATTTGTAAGTCACCACTATGGTGATTAGTCTTGGCTAGGTATTTTGACCTTTGTCACTTTTAATTACATTTCATTTTATTTTATTACATGCTCTTCCAGCCAATGTAATAGTGGTATAGAACACTGTGTTACATGAAAAGCTAGGCAAGTAATAATTGCCATCTACAATATATTATCTATATCTCCCTATGTAGTATGTGGAAATATTATATGTTACAAATGAAATAGTTCATTACAATATATCTTTCTACAATTAAGGTAAGTGGATGTTTACCATTTTGGTAAAAATTACGCTTGTTTATTGTCAGCATTATTGGGTTTTGTATGTCAAGTGGTGATATCTCATACTATGAATATTCCCAGTTATCTCTGTGAACCTTTAGTATTAGATATCAACATACTAAAACCCAATGAGTCTGACAATCAACAAGCATCATTTTAAATGCCTCTGTACATTACAAAATAAGTCAAAAGAGACAGCCCAAACAACAATAGCAACAGCAATATAAACCAGCAAATAGTAAAACAATGCCACCGCATCATTTATTCAAGCCAGATTGCATGCTGGGAACATCGCTAGCATAGTACTGTAGACATTACACTAATCTGTAAATATACGAGAGATTACTGTAATGCAGACACAGTTAATCATTAGGATTCTACAACATCACAGTCATTCAACTCCCGTGGGATTGCAGTATACAGGCGTCTTTTAATTGTAATTCCAGAATTACTACAGTGCAAATTACTGTGAAAGGTCAGCAACTAGCAGTCAGGACAAATGTTAGCACTATGTTTAGTAAATTTATAATAAGCTACTTTGTATGCCAGGTCTTACCGTAGTGTAGTTGTGAGCGACGTTCAAAAGATCCATGCATCCCTGAGCATCAGCAAACGAACGGATCCCCAGGCAGTTGGATGGGTGCAGTTGTTTCATCAGAAAGTTACAGCAGACCTGAATAACTTGTGAGAGCTGGAGGAGACAAGCAGCAGCTAACAGACTTTCAATTGTGTCCTCTTTTAGCTCCAGGACTCCTGTACATTTGGAGAAAAGAGCAAAATATGCAAGAAACTTTTCAGAATTATTCCAGGAACAAAATTGTATGTTTAACCTGTGTAGACAGAAGTTAGTTTGGGTTTGTAAATTAGTTTTGCCCACTGACATCGACGAAAAACTTATTTGTGGATGTGACACTTCTGCTATGAACAGCAGATTTAAATAGTCCACAAGTGGAATGCGGATACTCACCAGTATATGCGAAATGAACCAGTGCTCGCAACGCCTCAGGATCTACACCCTCCATTTTAATTTCCTCTTGTTTTGCCTCCCTCACATCATTGGTGAACATGGCAGCAAAGTAGTCTGAAACTGCGCTCAGGACAAGTCTGCAAATAATTGTGCAAATAGTTTATATATGCGACTGCGTACTTCAAGATCAACTCAAACAACTTCTCGAGAGCCGTCTTCGTAGAAAATTCCTCCCTACAAAAAGATTTATCTCAGCGCAGCTATTTTCACCAGGTTGTTTCATGCAGCTCTGGGATGATGTTGATTGAGCTCAGTGTCAAACTGGGAGATGCAGTAGAGATTTGACTACAGAGAATTTTTCAACATAATAGCATCAAAACACTCAGCGGCCAAGAGATTTCTTTAAATAAACACTCTTTTAGAGTCCTTGAAGAAAGTTCAACTCGCTCCGTAGTTTGAAATGGAGCGTGCAGCACAGTTTTGACACTTCTTGAATCTGCCATCTGCATATCTGTCCTTAAAGGAACAGTTCACACAAAATGAAAATTGTTATCATTTTTGTTCCTCCAAACCCAAAGACTTTTTTTTTTTTTTTGAACAATGTGCTCACCACTTTTTTTCATGAAATTTCAATGAATTGGCCTTGATCTTTCAAGCTTCAAAAAGAAACATTTAAATGAACATGCGTGCTATGTTTCTAGTTTTCTGAAGCCGTACAATTGTGTGAGATATAGACCAAAAATCCTTATTTCCTGAAAATCATTCATTCTTTTTATCTATACAGTGAAACTCCACTCAACCAAAACTTTCATAATATACAAAATACAAAAAGACATCGTCTGAAGAGACTCAAACACTTTATCTGCTTGTTACGACCGTTTCTTCTGATGATTATTTTTTGTTGTTGTATTGTATTGCTTTGTTTCTCTCTTTCTCTTTGGGGAAAAGGTCCTTCCGCTTCCCGAAGTTATCAAAAATCCAATGTGTGAACCTGTTACTTCTAGTGAGTTAACATCAGAATTTCCGGCAGTTTTTTCTGCGTGTGTGGTTACGCGGGCTCAAGCGCGTAAATTCAGTGATTTAGTTGTTCTCTCTGACACCTGCTGAACAGATTTAATTAGGCTTTTATTCAAATATAAACATTGACCAATGCACATACATAGAGCATATTAAATATGGTAAACAGAAGCTCAACCATTCTTGCTTGATTTGTGAGAACTGATGAGGTTTCATTTGTGTTTTGAAGAATGACAAATTTTTCATTTTTGTTTCCCACACAAAGCTAAGATATGACTTCAGAACACTTTTCATGACTTCAGAAGACTATAAAAGAATATAGCACATGAATCACAAGCAACACTTTAAGCTCCAGTCCACATTTATTGCATGAAAACCCAAATGTTCTCCTTTCATATTCTGTAAAAGAATGTCATACTTTTTGAGTAATTATTAGGCGAACTATTCCTCCACAGTTAACTAAGAGTTAAATAAAAGCTTTAATACTAGCATTTAGTTTTAAGTAGCTGTCAAATAGTTCGATTTTGTCTAAGAATGATAAATGTCTCTTTTCAATTGATTTCTGGAAAAGTACTGCACTGCGTTTTAAGCAGCGTTCCCTTCTGCCCTGTTGATCTGTCTGTTTTTGCAGTGAAAGTAGGACATTTGAAAGTAAGATGACTTGTTTCGGTGGAAACTCACCTGTGTGCGGGGATCTTGTGGTCTCCAGCTATCAAAAGTACATCACACAGCTGCTTGTGCTGAAGATAGGTCTCCATCTTTCGAAAGGTCTGTTCCGCGTGGTTTGTGGCCTGGAAAAACTCATCGGAGCAGTTGGAGCTCATCCTAGAGAAACCGCTCAAAGCCAACCTATGGGAAAGAGGAAGACCGGAGTTGAGCTGGGACTGAGCAATGTGCGCTTCTGTCAGTTTGATATGACTATTTGATCTATGTGGGTGACGGGGGAACTTAACTAACACCTGCACAAGCTGCAGTGTCCACCTGTGACTTCATCTTTTATTTTCCCCTCAATTGACCCATCAGGTCTGAGGCTCCACGGAGTGACAGGTTATGTTGAAGAAAGTGTGTTTGTGTTGCAGCAAAGCAGAGTCTCAGACATGTGCATTTCAAACTGTGGTGTTTATAGAACATTATTCTAATAGATCACCTAAAAATTCAATTCTGTCATTTACTTCCCTCATCTCATTCCAAACCTGTATGAACTCCTTTCTTTGGTTCATACAATGAGTGATGCCTTGGACTCCATAAACCAAAACACTCTTAAAACATTCGTTTTCGGGACGAGAAAGAATAGCTTACAGGTTGAAAATGATATGAGAGTGAGGAAATAATGAGAATTTACATTTTTGGTGAACTGTCCTTCCATCATTTGTGTACATATACCTGAAAGGTTTTTATTATTTGGACATGCAGAGTTAATTAATTATTTGACTTCTACTATGTCCTACAGCGGCGCTACAGTTGGTTCACCCATGACAAATTAAACAGGCAAGCTTAATAAAAATAAACAATTTTGTGCCATTTTCCATCCATTTCCTCTGCCAAATGTAGGAAAATGACTTAGTAACATGCATGCTGTTTGTGTCATAATGAAAAGAACAAATTTATAGCCTTTATTACTCTTTTTCATATATGCTCTATCACTGTTACTTTCACAATTTTATACTATTTGATGGCTTGATCCAATTTATGCAGTTTGCACCCACAAAAACAAGCTCTGCCAATGACTGTCACCATGTTGTTTGATGCAGTTTTCTGTATGCGTGAATTATATATTGTGCAGAAGTAATAAAAACACTTTTTTTCTCTCTCCCAAATGTACATTAGTCATTCTGTGTATATCTTCCTTCAAACTTGTGAGAGCTAAAATTGAAACCATTAGAACTAAACTCCGTAAATAAGTGGATTGAAAGCCAGTTTTCCAAAGGGGCAGATTACCATTTGCACAAACTCTGCAGTTTTTATTTATTTATTTATTCTTTTGGAAGCACAGGACTTTGTGGGGATCTGGTCTCTTCACAGAGCCTTGATAATGTAAATTCTGAGCTGCTCTCCCTGTGGACCGGTAGATTACAAGCCATTGTGCTGCATCTGAATAATCCCTCTGACTCACAGCAAACAATCTAAACCCTTTATTTTGCTGTCCTTCACGGAACAAATCCATGGCTGACATTTAACCAGTCCACAACACTGTTTAAAAAGTCTAACTGCCGCAGGGACCTACAGTAGAGCTGTGCATTTTGATTACTTGTCTGTAAAATATGCCATAGAGAAGGGCGTTTTTTTTTTAAAACTCAGTAATTATTTGCTTTGAATGACTGGTTATATTAACCGCCATCAACAAAGATTTGCATAACAAAAACAAAGCATGACCATTATGATATTTTTAATATCTGCACATCCTATTGTCCACTTCATCTTTTAAAAAGAGTTGCAAAACCATAAAGCTGGGAATGAATATTTAGCACCTGATAAAACGTTATGATCTCGTAAAAGTTTTAATTACAGAGTAAATCCCACCGAAAGCTGCGCTCACTGGATCAATGGTTTTGTGAACTGTGACTCTGCCCTTAGAGGGACACATAAAGCAGAATTTCGCCCTTGTGTCCTCGACTTTAAAGGCAGATATGTTCCATCATATGAGCTAGTTTTTTAAGCATACTGCCGTATACATCACATTAATTCCAGAGTGCATACTTCTACTCTCTCTTCATAGCAGAATACATTTGATAAGTAGTCAGTTGGCGCATTTAATATGATGGAGCTTGCTTGATGTGAATTGGCTGTATGAGCAAGGTGACTCTCATACGGAATGCATTATCTTTATCTCTCTGGTCAGCTGTCAGGGGTTGGTGATCGCACTGATATTTACAAGCGGAGGGGGGTTGACTTCTAAACATTTAAAATTGTCCTGGGGTTGCTCTGATCTAATGCCACATGCAAAGCCAAACTCAGGTTGTCTGGCTGACGGATCATATCAAATAGCCTGCTATTTTACATATAGAGCATCCAGTCTGCTTAAAGGAATAGTTCACCCAAAAATGAAAATTTGCTGAAAATGTACTCACCCTCAGGGCATCCAAGATGTAGTTTGATGTAGGAGTTTGTTTCTTCATCAAAACAGATTTGGAGGAATTTAGCATTCCATCACTTGCTCATAAATGAATTCTCTGCAGTGAATGGGTGCCGTCAGAATGAGAGTTCAAAAAGCTGATAAAAACATCACAATAATCCACAAGTAAACCACACCACTCCACTCCATCAGTTAACATCTTGTGAAGCAAAAAGTTGCAAGTTTGTAATAAACAGATCCATTGTTAACACATTTTTTACTTTAAATCATTACTTTTAGCCAACCCATAATAACGTTTCCTCCAGTGAAAACATCCATCCCCTGTTGTCCTCTCACATCAAAATCCTCCAACTTGTTATGAACTGTTTTGGACCATTTTCACTTGTAAACAGTGCTTAATCTGTGCATATTTCTCTTCTGAATCAGACAAGCCAACTTTTTCAATGAGGGAAGCAATATTACGGATAGAGGACTCATATTGTAGCTTAATGAAAGATTTGTTTCTTACAAACACGCAGATTTTCACTTCACATTAACTGATGGACTGGAGTGGTGTGGATTACTTGGATTATTGTGATGTTTTTATCAGCTGTTTGGATTCTCCTTCTGACGGCACCCATTCACTGCAGAGGATCCATTGGTGAGCAAATGATGTAAAGCTAAATTTCTCCAAATCTGTTCTGATGAAGAAACACACTCATCTACATGTTGGATGGCCTGAGGGTGAGGACATTTTCAGCAAATTTTCTTTTTTGGGTGAACTATTCTTTTAAAATCGTGTATGTTTGCATGCTTCCCTTTTATCGTTTTGTGATAATGATACCTTATATGGCCCAAGTGAATGGTTGAACACACCATTGAAAAAAATGTTTACAAATATTCAGATTAAATATTTCATTTTTGCCTCTATGTGGTGCTTTGGTTATTGGTTTTAGATCCAGTGCCTACTGATGAAGCACAAGACAAAGTACAAGACAATCAAGTGTTAAAGATGACACTAAATTTACATTAGATTCTTTACATTATGCCGAATTGCATTTGCAGCTGTGAGACATTTAGACATTAATAACCATGTTTCGATTGTGTGGACAGCAAAGGCTACCAGTCCCAGACTCCTTCTGGTCATTATAAGGTTGTTTTTTATGCTAAATAGATGGGTAATTTATCTCACTGACATTATAACTACATTTTGGCACAGAGCTGGGTGTACTGAATAAGAAATAAGACAACATAAGAGGGGTTGTAAAACCTAGATGCATTACTTTTGCTCAAAGTAATGCTGAGAGGACTTTTATGTCTACCACTATCGGAGAACCAAATTGCTTCTTTAACACTTTCTGAAAGGTTGTAAATTTACTGAAAATGTTTTCTTTCTGCCTGTGAAATTGGCTTTTTATATAAAGGGCCATTATGAGCCACAATGCCACTGAAACTTGATGTAAAGCAACTAAAACAAATTTTCGTAACCCCTGAATAATATATAACAAGAGTTTCCTACACATTATATCTATGCGTGTTAATCTTACATTTACATTGCTGCAAATGTAAATGTTCATAATTTTATGAAGTTCTATTTCGCCTTGTTTTGATATGTTTATCTATTTTATTTTATCTCTTTTATTTGTTGTTTTTAATACACAGGTTTGAGTACTACTTCTGGCTAAATAAATCTCCATATAGTTATGCACTATGAACAGGATGAATAAACAGCTCAACAGTTGAAACTGCTGTATGACATATTTCATACTCGGAGGACTTTTATAGACATCTATTTGTTGTGTTATCTGGTGCATTACATAACCCATCATATCTCCATATCAGTACAGCATCTGAGCAGTTATTGAACTTGAGCTGTATCACTCTATTCACCCAGATCAATAACAAGTGGGCAGTTGTTGCAGTTACCTGAGCATTTCTTGACAAGAGCCTGCCAACAGACTCTTCAAAAGCTATTTCAAGAGCCTGACACAGAGAGCATGTTATATGTGGAGCACCGCAAAGTTCTTAACCAGATTTTACACATCATTCCCTTTCTCTCTCCGAAACAGATGCTTATCATGATCAGTACATCTGCTTCGAATATTTTTTTTATTTAAAAAAAGCTATTTGATAAAGTGCACTAGGTCTGTATATGTTAAGTGTTTTGATCAATACAATCAACAAAAACAGCCTAAAAACATTTATATTCATGTTTTCTCAATTTTAGTGGTGCAGCTGTCAATCAGATATGAATAGGAATTGCTAAAGCAGGTATAAAGGATTTTTCAAGGATGTTATAATAAAATATGTATCAGCATCATTGCTCACATGCGTTCTGCGCATGTATTTGGTTGACCTTTCAAGAAATTGCTGCTAGCTGGTTGCAAACATACTGAAGCAGCCCTAAGCTATTTTATTTGGCAGGGTCTTATTCCTCATGGAACAGCACGTCAATGCCTCTTTCTCGATTCCTGAAGCATGCTTTGTTATTCAGTGATGCACAGTGCACACATTATGTTGAAACTGCACAACAGTGCTTTCCCGCTTAAAACAGAATAACTGATCCAGTTCTGTGTGTCTGTGGGGGTTTCGTCCATTTTGCTTGCCTTTTCCAAAATGTCACTGAACAAGATTGTTTTCCCATTGTCAATGTAAACAAATCTGCTTTTGAGTCTAATCTAATTATTGTCAATATTTCAAATGCTACAACCATAATCAGCACCATCCAGATGCTGAGACAAAATAGTATGCTCAAAAATCATTCTAAAATACCAGGCCAATGTCCGCAAGGCACTTT